TCCCTAATTGAATCACTTCACATAACAGACCCCCTTGAGAATCTCATAGAGGAAGACTCAATAGATTAGGATTGAGGCATCAACCTGGCCGATAACGAGAGGGGGTAGAGGAGGAAGGCAATCAGAGAAGGGTGAATTGGCCAAACCTAAGTGATCTCTAGTAGAAATGACCATGGTAGAACAATTGCAAATTTACTTTGGTAACACAACGGGCTTAACGGGCCCATTTGGTGGATTTTGTAAGCCTAACAATCCAACATATTCCACCAAGTCAAGCCCATTTGGAGATACCCTAGAAGGCAAAATGTCCTTCACCGATCTAGATTTCTTGCGTGATTGATTCTTCTTAGATATCGACAATTTTTCTGACATAGCCAACCTAGGATTTGTCGTAATCACCTTTTGCCTCCCTTTTGTATCACCCATTGACTTTGCTACACGCTGAGGATTAGACACATTACCAATACTACCAACTTCACCATTTTCTAAGATCAAGGCACCATCATCACCCCTTATTTGCAGACAAGTTTCATCAATAGCCACAAGCTCCCTATTATCTTGAACTCTCCCAACACCAAATTTCCCTGAATCATGTGTTTGTCCATTGAGTTCAAGAATGACGTTCCCATCGTCTTCTTCACTTACAAGTGATAAAACATCCTTTTTAAATTCTGCTTCGGATGAGGTATCAACAAGGAAATCTGCTGATGAATCGGAATCTAAGCCTTCATAATTCCATGGTAGCCAAATTCTTTGTGGCCCTTGAGAGTCTTCCACGACTTTAATCTGAAACACCTCACCATTAATCTAGACATTAAAGTTCATTCAAAACTAAAACATATTTGGTTCTGACCATAATCCGTGCGACATCCATATTTGTATGGTTTTTGGTGTTGTCATCTGCACATAAATATTTGCCTAAAGGAGCCATAATAAACTCAAAGAAGTTAGGAGTCCAAGCGTGACAAGTGTTACACTCTAAATAATCCCCAGCGTAATATAAATAAAATTAGAGTAATTATCCACAAAATCCTATTTTGGAATGTCACACTTTCAACAATCACTTACTCATTCAATCAAATATGTAACATGTGTCCTTTTAAAAATTATTTATAATAACATTATTAGCAAAATATAACTGAAGGTTAATTCATATAGCAACAGAAATAACATTTAATCATTCAAGTTAACAACTCGAGGTATAACATAATTGATAGTGTCATAAAGAAACAATAGTCATAGGAAATAAAACATGTTAATCAACCACCAACAATAAAAATCACGCGAAGTTCCATAACCCCAGTATTACATATCAGAGCAGACTCTAAACTAAAAGAATAAACAAAAGACTTCATCTTCCACTCACATCTGAGATCCTATTGTGGATTATCGACACATTACCCACGTGGATACAATATTCAAGCAGAAGGGATGAGATGGCATGATATTATAAAGTAAAACATGTTAAACGACATGCATGAAGTTAACACAACAACAATTCAACTAAACATCTCACATTAATCACCCAACAATATCATCACCAATTATTCAGCAACCAGGAGGAAATCACAAGATAGCAAATCAATTAATCGCACAATACCACATATTTATCGACATAGCAACATGGATAATATATAATGCAATGAGACTCACACCTAACTCAATGCTTATGCATGTGGTACCAATCTTTCATGAACACTCAGGTTCACTGTTCTGATCCCCACCTCCTAGGATCAGAACCACTCACTGATCCATCACATCTGAATTAGCTACCATCCCAATCCACACAATGATATTTTATGCTCACCAAAAATGTACCATTTGTCCATAAAGTTATGCAATGCAATTATTAATGCATACAACAACAACAACAACGATATCATCGTGTACAATAACCCACCACCATGGTTATTGCACACCAACCAAATTGATCAACAAACATAAAAATGTATTTCATACAATATATACATACATGCATATATTATGCAATCACAAAAACATCATCAAACATGCTCATTTTACACCAATAACACCACAATAACTTCTTTATAACAACATTCAAGTTTTGCCACTTACAAGTTACAACATGATTTCTTTACATGCACAACAAGTAATAGTCATGATCTTCAATATATTAAACATAAAAATATTAGAAAAGTGGATCATCTAAATATAACATGTTAAAATTCTGCTCATTAGCTTTCCAACGCTTTGAACGGTTCATCATTTGGATTAACGGTTAAAAAGTTATGATCGAAACTGTTTCTGGCGTTTTTCTGCCTATGAGTCGACACAAAGGTCGACGCGCAGGGTACATAGGTTAATGCAAGGCCTGTGTGTCGATGCATACTGCTCAAATTTCCATAATATTACATTTGGATAGCATCAGGCCGACCCAGGGGATCCTGGAGGTCGACGCACGTTATTTCGAACCCCAAAAATCACTTTTTTAAAGCTATTTCACACCAGATTTTCATACCAGAGCCTATGCCACTAAAACCCATCACCATAGACCTAATTCTATACCAAAATAACATCCTAAAACTCAATTATACTATGTTCTACTCATGGATTAACAACATATCATCATCAATTTCATACTTCCGACTCAAAACTCCAAAACTCAACAATGAAGGAACTTTCAACAATTTCTAAAACAGAAACACCACACACACCTATAGGTAAAAAAAAACCATCACATATTAGCTAACAAAACATCGTTTATCACAAATCAACTAACAATTTTATCATTTATCAATTATTCATAGCAATCATAACATAGAATAACGTTCCACCCATAAGATAAAACCTAACTTTTACCCATCATTCAACATACTAACCCTTACTAAGATCAGAATCCCACCCTTACCTTAGATTGATGAACTTTTTTCCTTCTTTAATGGAGATCTTCCACTTCCTTACCCTAGCCTCTTTCACTTTTAGTTCCAAATTCACGTAAGACTAGAAACTGATTCCAATCTATTCCAATTCTTTTTATAAAATCCCTCAACTATGGTTTTCCTCTTTTACCCTCACTCATCCTCATGCAATTACAATCATGCCCTTCAAATCTCTACACACTTAATCTCTCATTTTATTTTATTTCATTCTATTATTATTATTATTATTATTATTATTATTATTATTATTATTATTATTATTATTATTATTATTATTATTAGTCCCATTTAATTAAAATAATAATAATAATAATAATTCCCAACAGTTATTTAATTATATTAATATTCACCTAATGTTAAATAATTAACTAATTATCACTAATATTATATTTAGTTTTACTTCTCACACCACCAATCTCTATTCGAATGTTCACACACTCCTCCACTCTCAAGGTCTACTCTTAAGGTTACTACCCCATACTAAGGGCATCCCAAAACACAACAAAACACACATAATCACAAATATGCACACAACTTCACGTAATTAAAATTTGAAAAATAATTTAAAATAAAACGGGGCATTACAACAAGAAACTCCATAACATCTCACCCAAGTAACCTGTTCTCTATCCACGTACGATGGTTGCCACTTTCTTATTTCTTTAAATCGTTGTTGCAGCCAATCACAATCTTCCTCCAATAAGGCTTCCATTTCGCCCTCATTTTTATCCTCTAGTAAGCATAGGTTTGCTCCTAGAGGCGTAACACGAATGACAAAGTAACCTTCTGTATTGAAAATCTCTTGCATGCTGTAAGTTAACTTAATATTCTCAACTACACCAACGTAAGCCTTCTTGAATCTCTCCATATCAGCATCACCAATATTGTATTCTAAATGAGCAAAAATAGGTTTGGTTTTCTCGCCATGAGCACCAGTTATGAAGTTATTCTTCACCGCATTTGCATATGAACGGTTCTCTCCAACTCCAACTCTCTTGCCCAAAGCTTCCCCCTATGGGTTGGACGATCGCCTCTGGTTTTATTTGGAATTGAACGTCTGTTATGAGCGTCTTCTTTGTACCTTGTATTCTCACTGCGATCTTTATCACCTTGTTTTCTTTAGAAACGAGGAATGTTGACAAAAAGTTTTTATTTGCCTATAAATAAGTTATCCAGCTTCAAGGCCAAAGATCTTGCACTACCAACGTTGTAAAACCCAACAAACCCATATCTCTTGCCTCTTATATCTCTTCTGTTAGGTATCACCACTTTGTCAATATCTCCATAATGTTTAAATTCCTCATACATTTCATTCGCTGCAGCCTCCTAAAAAAATGACGTAAAGAAGAAAGAAGTTTTTGTGCTATGATCACCATGGAAACCATCACGTGTGTTACGTGCATTATCCCACCTTGAGTTTCTTCCTCTGCCTTTGTTACGTTTCTGGACGAAGCTCCACTCACCAGCTCCTATTGTTGCCTTCTAATTTTAACGTAATAATTCTATAACTAGTGCTGTTTTTACGATCCACTCAAATCTCTTATGAATGTTAACCTCTTTTATTCTTAATAGCAGAGATTTGTCCTGTAATTATATATTTGATTTACCTTTTGAAAAAGATAATTATTTAAGATAATTGATTCTTATAAAGTATAATTAATTTTACTTTAAACTAAAATTTGTAATTTTTATATTTAAACGTGATTTTTATATTGAAATTTATCGTTTAATATATAATTATATTCAAATATATATCAATTTATCCAATTACTAAAATCAATTCATCCATGCAATTCTTCTCATTGCATTAACATACACACTAAAATATATAAAATAATAATAAATTTTGAATGACAATATCTCATGTCGATGCCGACATACACAAATAGAATGTTACTAACATCCATCCCGCTTAGTAATAAACCTTTTGAGTTTTTCACCATTTATCAAAACTCGTTGCACTCGATGACACACTCTATTCTCTATATCTAAAACTTCACCTTTACTCAATTCAATTCTCTTTCTCATTGCGACATCACAACACCCTAACTACCACTGAAACATATCTCAAACTGTTACAATATCACAACCATTTCCCCTATGTTACAACCTAGATTCGCTGCTGTTTTTTCCCTCTTGTTTCTATGTTGGGTTTTGGTTCCTATGGCAGAATCAGCCATAGGTGTAAACTGGGGTACACTTTCTTCTCACAGGTTGAAACCCTCTACAGTGGTTGATCTTTTGAGAGACAACAAGATCTCAAAAGTTAAGCTTTTTGAAGCTGATCCTCATGTGCTTAAAGCATTGATGGGGAGTGGCATTCAGGTTATGGTTGGAGTCCCTAATGAAATGTTGTCTCTTTTGGGTTCTTCTTCTGTAGCTGCTGATTTTTGGGTTCGTCAGAATGTTTCTGCTTATATCACTAAAGGGGGTGCTGATATCAGGTTTTTTTTAATCTCGGATTTGGTTTTAAACTGGTTAATTCATTATTAAAACTTGAATAACTGATTTTAATAATGAAAATTAGGTTGATTTTAATTAATTATTGAAGTTATATTGATAGGTTGTTGTTGTTGATCTTGTGGTTCTCAATTGCATTTTTGAAATGATCATAGTTGTTACCAATGATTCAGATCAGAATATATGTCTATGGTGTCATATATATACTTAGTTCTGACACCTCAGAAAAAATGTTTGTCTGCGTCAATGTAGGATACCAACATCGACATTTATGATTACGTTTAACTTATTCATTTTTCAAATTATTACTGGTGTGGGTGTCTTTATCCGTGTTTGTGTTGACGTGTCAGTGTAGTGTCTGTATATCCGTGTCTGTCCTTTGCTTCATAGGTGATATGTATACTTATGTTGATGATTTTCTTTAGGCCTCTTACCTTTTACTTTGTAATACAGGTATGTTGCGGTAGGAAATGAACCCTTCCTTACGAGTTATAACGGTCAATTTGTGAACCTTGTGATGCCGGCGGTAATCAATATTCAACAGTCATTAGTCAAAGCCAATCTTGCTGGTTATGTAAAGATAGTTGTCCCTTGCAATGCAGATGCGTACGAGTCCTCGGGAGGACTTCCTTCCCAAGGGGTATTTCGTTCTGAACTGACTCAAATCATGACTCAACTGGTTCAGTTCCTCAACTCAAACGGTTCCCCGTTTGTTGTTAATATCTACCCATTTCTTAGCCTTTACGATAATGGAGATTTCCCTCAAGATTACGCGTTCTTTCAGGGAACTAGTCATGCTGTAACAGATGGTTCAAATGTCTACACCAATGCATTTGATGGAAACTATGACACTCTAGTTGCTGCCCTCGGTAAACTCGGATACAATCAGATGCCTATAGTTATTGGTGAAATCGGTTGGCCCTCAGATGGAGCCGTTGGTGCGAATATCACTGCTGCTAGGGTTTTCAATCAAGGTCTTGTCTATCACATTGCAAGTAACAAAGGGACTCCCTTGAGGCCAAACGCTCCTCCTATGGACGTTTATCTTTTCGGACTGCTCGATGAAGGAGCAAAGAGTACCCTTCCAGGAAACTTTGAAAGGCACTGGGGGATATTCTCGTTTGACGGGCAAGCTAAGTATTCATTAAACCTTGGACTTGGAAACAAGGAATTGAGAAATGCGAGGAATGTTGAGTATCTTCCATCTAGATGGTGTGTGGCAAAACCCTCAAGCGATCTAACGAATGTAGTAAACCATATGAAAATTGCTTGTAGTGTTGCAGATTGCACAACACTAAACTACGGAGGTTCGTGTAATGAAATTGGTGAGAAGGGTAATATATCATATGCTTTTAACAGTTACTATCAGCTCAGAATGCAAGATTCACAAAGCTGCGAATTCGACGGGCTTGGTATGGTTACTTTCCTAGACCCTTCTGTTGGTGACTGTCATTTTCTTGTCGGAGTTATAGATAAAGGCCTGAATTCATCTGCGTCTCAATCAACCTATCAATGGTGGGTTCTAGCATTATTTCTGACTTTACATTGGATTTTTTTGCTTTCGATGTGATTAACATGTTTCATTAGCGGTTTTTCACTGTCCCCTCTTATGAAACTGCCAGAACTAGAATAGCTGCTATACTATTTAAGCTTAGATTATTCAAAAGATTCATGGTTTGTAGCCTAGAATCTGATTATTATTATTAAGTCATTGTATCATATTAAAGACGACTATATAAACATATTGCACATATTTATTTCATGTTCGTTTTCGTGACATCTGTTAAATTAATCAAATGAATCGGGAAAGATACAACGCAGATTGAACATGCAGCAGCGACAACCTTAACAGAATAATGTTATATCAGTTGTTTAAGCTTAGTCAAATCTTGAACGGTATTATAAATTGATGATAACAATGAGTGCAAAAACATAATTTACCTTGACGATAATAACCCAAGTTCTTGAAATCGGGAAATGAGCACTTAAGTTTTCTGCATTAGCAGAAAGAACCGTGAATGCCATCAGTAAGAGTGGCATGAGAAAACAATGAGCAAAGCTGGTTTTTTCATAATCTTTTCAACCTTATTCATTCTCTTCACTTTGTAGACCTATTTATAACAAGGTTTGTTCTTTGAGCAACAAGTTGATGGACAAAGCAACTTTCTTGTATCTTATAGCTAGTGGTGCATTGCATGCATTATCTTGTGGTCCTCATTTTTTTTCTCGCCAATTTTGACTATCCATTATCTTACTACAATTATCTTAGAATAAAACCTTCTTTACTGATACATATCTTTTATTTGTATGTTTGATTAGTGTGAAGTTATAACTATGTAACATTCATGTTCTTGTCTATGGATAAGTTAAATCATATTCACAGGCAAAATGATTGACATGATATTAACAGTTTCAAGATAAGTTTGATCAAACTTTAATTTTAACATGATATTAGAGTTTATCAATCGGACCATGAGTCACTCATTGTATATTGTGTCACTCGTGACCATACAATTTGATTTTAACAATTCTCTATGTGATATCAGGCTAAAGCTGAAAAGCAATTCATTCTCAATTATTTCATTTGCTTTACATCCACTAAACTTTGCTAAAACAACACCAAGACAAAGTGTATAACTTTGTCGATTTTCAAAGTGAAATCTCCACTTTGGATAATAATATTCAAGATTTTTGTTTTGGACAATCATCATTTGAGACTAGTTTGTCCCATTCAATCATTACTTTCAACTGCCATTATCATTCATTAGTCCCACCCCCAAAAAAAAAAGTTCCTTATAAACATATTTGCCTACATAAAGAAATGTGACGCTAGTTAAGAGCTATACATATATTTATAAGTGAAGACAATCATCAGCTTATAAATTGAAAGAATAAGTCAAATCAAACTCTAATTTAAGAGCTATACATATATTTATAAGTGAAGACAATCATCAGCTTATAAATTGAAAGAATAAGTCAAATCAAACTCTAATTTTAATATGATATCAAATTTTGATTTTGATTTGTTGCCTAATAATAGTTCCATATTGGGGGCAAAGTCAAATCAGAATCAAATTTATATTCACCAAATTATTTCATTCATAATCAATTTTTGTCACCATAGAAACACACATTTAACAAAGTAAGAAAATTTTCAAAGTTAAATGATCAGAATGAATATATACTGTGAGATAGAGATAAAGACGGAATCAAACATTGACTGTATTATCAGTCCAAAAGCTAACAATGACTGTAACTTTAGCTTGAAACTTGATAAACACAACCATATTCACAGGCAAAATGATTTCTAGTTTTTGCTTTTCTATTCTGAAACACTTTTCTCTATTAGAAGTGTTCTGATTTTGTTGGGAATGTTTGGAGCTTGAACTTGTAAGTATTAGCCTCCCCAACTGGGAAAGATAAGTCTGATAACTTTCCATGAGCTCTCTTGTTGTCATAACCAGGATAGTCATCTTTGAAAAATGGAACAGCTTGGTGCAACAACAGTCCTCTCTTTTCTGCTTTCCTTACAAGATCCCACTTGTTGTATGGATCACCTTCTTTGTGAGTTACATGTATCTCTCCTCCCTCTTTCTTTAATAGTGCTTTTGCATTTGCCATAAATCCCTTCAACAACTTTTTGTTCAACCTGTTTGGTTCCCAAAATTTCAGATACATTAGTGACCATTCAAAACCTCAATTAAGATTGAATATACTTAAATTATGATTTTAACAAATGTCCAAGACCACAATCTAAACCATGCTATCTGGTTTACTCCTCATGTCCAAGACTAGACATCTAGAACATGGAAATAAATGGTGAGTGATTTGATAGCAGAAACCTAATAACAGGTAGTCCAACGGATCTTGAACCTACCTCTTGAAACCATGTTAAGATTGTGATTTCAACCTAACTAATTCCTACAAAATCGGCTTGTAAGATGATGATTGCTCTCACTTGTAAGCACATGTTTAAAGTTGTCTATTGTCTGATTTGAGACTCATAACATCACGGATCACAATGTAACCATGACAGTGGTATACAACGTCGATTCTACCCTATATCAGGCGGCCTAATGGATCTTAAACAGACTCTATTACCAACTTCAAATTTAGGTTAGAGCTAAGTCAACCCTAAAAAACACGCTTAAAAGTGAAAAATGTAGCCTACTTATAAATTCACCATATCTTATCCAATGTGAAAGAAAACAGAAAAAAAGAGAGAGAGGGAAGATTACTGAATCTGGCAGTAGCTATTCTCAGGGTAAAGGAAGCCAACATGAGGAAAATTATAAACAATGCGATCAAACCTCTGAGTCTTGAGAAAGAAATGCTGACTCATAACCTTAACATCAACATCATAAAGAACAATACAACCCCTTTCTTCAAGTTCCCTTGCATTACTCACTCCATTACCATACTTCTTTTCAATTTTCTCTGCCAAAACAAAAAAAAAAAATCATTAAACTAAAAAAATGGGTATGATGAAAAAGTTTCAAAGTTTTGATTTTGATTACCCTGAGAATCAAGAGAAGTTGCGACGAGGTTGTGTGCAGAACCAAAAGCTCTAGCTAAACAAAGAGAGAAAGAGAAATCACCCTCTCCAACAAAGAGTATTTTATGCTTTGATGAGTAGTGCTTCTTCCATTTCAGTGTGTTTGAGGATAGTTCTTGTTCTTCTTCTTCCTCTGATTCTTGTTCATCATCAGTGTGAAGTTGATGGTGAATTTGTTCTGGTATTTGACCCATTTGGATCAATAATCGATTTTCAAAGATGATGGTTTTTAAAAAATATATAAGTTCCGCTGCTACCGACGCTAATGACCAATCATCGTTACTCTATAGCAAGAAACAAAGTTTGGAAACTTTAGATTCAACTTTATTATAAGGTGTCTCTCTATTTCTCATAAGTCATTTTTTATGGTATGAATGACTAATATTTTTTGAATTTTTTTAAACAATAACTATTGGGATACCCGTGCTATTGCACTCATCATGTCTGTATTCACACTCTAAGTTGCAAAAATTACTTATTAATTCAGCTTTTAATTTTTTTTTAGAGCCTAACCAATTTAATCTATAACTATATATAAAAAAATATTTTGTTTTGGTGTGATTTATTTTTCTACTATTTTTACCTTTGTTTTATTATATAATTTATTTAATAACTTTTTATTATTAATTTTCACATAACTTTTTTATTATTAACTTACACATATTATATTTTTAAAAAAAAATTATTTAAACAAAAAATATTGTTATATATTTCCATTAATGCGCATTAAAAAAACGGACATAATTTACTTAATAACTTCTCATTATTAAATTCCACATAACTTCTTATTATTAACTTACACATATTGTATTTTTTTTAAAAAATATTTAAACAAAAAATATCGTTTATATTTTTATTAATGCCCATTAAAAAAACGGGCACGCAAAAAAAATATTTAAACAAAAAATATCGTTTATATTTTCATTAATGCGCATTAAAAAAGCGGACGCGTGCTCGTCTGGACACTAGTAGGTTAATAAATTTAACAACAATAATAAATATAAATTACAAAAATACAAAATTAACACTTCCTGCCTATAGAATTTAAAAATATACAGTAATATCATTCAATACACAATATGTGACTCGGTCAATCCGTGGATTATGCTTGCAATTTCATTAATTACCAAAACTTAGTTGAATTCAAATGAGTAAATTCTAAAACTACAACTCTTACTACAAATAATTTTGTGTTATTATACAAACATACAAATTTTGTTCAAACTCTATAATTTTTACAAGGACCAACTTAATGGGTTAATAAATTCAACAACAATATTTATATCAATTTATAGACTTTTTCCGTTAAAAAAAATTATTTTAACTTACTTCTGTATATAAAATTATTTACATCAACATGTAGATTTTTTTCCGTTTGTAAAACAATTTATAAAGCAATTATTCGGTAGCAGCGGAACTTATTTCAAAGATGATGAATTGAACCTTTGTGACAATTTATAAAATATTTTTTTATTTATTCATGTTAAAAATAATTCTTTTAATACTTCAATTTGTCTTCTTTATAAAAAAATTTGTAACTTATTCTCATTTATACTGATAATTGTATAAATAGTTGAATTTATTATATTTATAAAATTATTTGTAACTTATTCCCGTTTATAAAAATAATGTGCCTTATTCAATTTATAAAATGATTGTATCAATAGATATTTATCTTTTATCATTAATTTTTTATAATTACCATTTTTACCTTTGAACGTGCGCCTATCGTGTGACAATTTATAAAAATATTTTAAATTTATTTTTGTTAAATATACTTGAATTTTTCTCTTTTATAAAAATATTTGTAACTTGTTCATGTTTATAAACATTATTCTAACTTATTATCGTTTATAAAATTATTGTAACTTTTTCGTTTATAAACCTATTTATAAAAATATTAGTAACTTATTTTCATTCATAAAAATAATTATATCAATAATTAATTTTTTTTCATTTATAAAACAATTTATAATTTATTCTCATTTATATAAAAATAATTGTAATTTATTTTCATTTATAAAAATTATTCTATCAATAAATTTTCACCATTTATCATTATTTTTTTCATGAGAACTATTTATCATTATTTTTTTATCACTACCATTTATCATTTTTTTAAAAAAATTTTGTTTTGTTTTAATAATTTTATAAGTTTAAAAAAATTACAAAATCTCTGTTGATTTTGTTTTATTTTATTAACCTTTTTTTTAAAATATAAATAATTACAAAATATATTTTATTTTAAAAGTAAGCTCGAATTTTAATTAAAAAGTTAAATATTATAAAAATAAATAGTAGTATTAGACACCTAAAAAGCAAAATATGGTATAAGTATATCATATTAAGTTAAGAAGACAACTTTAAAATTATTTTTATAGTGAAAATATTCTAAATTGAATACTGATAAATATGTGTCTCATATTTAATTATGTTTATTATGTTTATAAATTATTTGAAACTTTAAGGTTTATTGTGTGAAGTGAGTAATCAACGAGAAATGTGGTAATTTGGAGTGTTTTTTCGTTTTTTCATGAAAAGAATTCAAAATAATACTTTTTATGGCTGCATTAAATGCACATTCAAAAAGTCAAATAATAATTTTTTTTTGACATTCATCCACTCTTTCCATACCAAATTTTAGTAATTAATAAATAAATAACAAATGATTAAATAAAATAATAAAGAAAACACAAAATAAGACTAAAATAACAGAAGGGGCATTGTGTTGGCAACTGTAGTCTGTAGTCTGTAGAGCAACCATATTCATTTTTATTTTACCAATTCAACATTCAATTTTTAATTGGTACTTTAAAAATAATAACAATAATAGTTAAAAAGATTTAAAATTTTGCAAGTCCACTCCTATACTAATAGTCGCATGCTTTAATTAAAAAATAAAATTAACAAATAAAATAAACCAAGGATTAAATTTTATTTAGGAAAGAGAGAAAAAAATCTTTTTGTTCTAATAATATGAATAATTATAAGTAGGTAAATCAAAAAATAATAATTTAACATTTATTAGTGTATATACCAGTAGGTAAATTAAAAATCAAATATAAGAATATCGAAAAATCAATTACAATATTAAATAATAATTTAATACTTATTTTTTATATACAACTTAATACGTATTTATTAATTTTTTATAAAAATTCAAAAATTTAGATATAAATTATTAATAATACCCGAATTTTAATTGTATTATAAATATATTTTAAATTATATATTCATTTAGTTCTTAAAATATCATACTCAAGCTGGTCATCATGATTCTTCTCACGCCCATCTAATCCAAATATTCAAACATGAATTTTACAAAGCAAGATTTTATCAAAGGTCTATACTATTTTTTATGTCCTATCATTATACTTTTATTTATTTACATTTAAATATATCATCAAATAATAAATAAATAAATAAAAGACCATGATAAACATGAAGGGAGTATTTTAGTAAAATAAAAAATGTATTAATTTCGGGATTGTTTAACTTTATGGCTACTACGATGTGACATTATTTTCAATTTTAATTGGAATTAGATATTTGTGAATTTTTTTATATTTTACGTTTTCAAAATGGAAGATGTGTTTTTGGGTTCTAATACTCAAACCCTTTAACCTTCAAATATAAGAGAAAGTTAAATGTAAAAGATTGTTTCTAGGAATATATATATGCATAATTTTTTTATTTATTGATGTTGCAGATCTCTATAGTTACTATGTGTTTGGCTAGCCACATTTCATTCTAATCCAATTTATATTTAGAAAGAAATATGTATCGAATATCAACATAAACTAAAATGTTTTGTGTGAGTTTATGGACACCCTTACGAAGTTTATTATTCTTTAAAAGTCATAAGTATACAAAACAAACTTTGCTGAATAAAATTAAGTTAATAATAATAATAATATGATGGTATATTACTTGTACCTGGTACGAAAAAAATGTATTAAGGATTTCAAACATTTAACAACCCATAAAAAAAAGAGTGGATTCAATTCCAATGTCACTTAAATACAACATAATAAAAAGAAAAGTAGGTCTCAAAGATCATCAGGTACAAATTATATTTTTTGATCGAATATTCACTAGGAACCTAATTAACCATAGCTAATCTGAAATGTATAAATCTAGTCCAACCATAAGACATTGTGGTTGAATTTGAAACATCTATATATGTTCAGCAATGTTCCATTTGAAAATATAGTATCCGCCTACTCATTTCAATCAACACGTGCATAATAATAAAAACATTGAGAGTCATAATATCAATTTATACACCAAAGAATAGTTCATTTAAGATGACTTGACTTGTTTGTTTTGAATGATGATCTTTGACATGTATTGATAACCTTTGTACCATTGGCTTGATGATTCCATAATGTACATGGTCAGGGTTTTGTTTGAGGTTGCTTGAGATACTTTGTCTTGTGAGTTTATGTTGGATACATGCTTTGATACTTACTTTACACATGTATCATTACTTGTTTATAAGCTTAGCCTTTGACATTTGAAGACTTTGTTTTGTGTTCCTTGGATGTTATCTTCATGATGTATAACTTGTTTGACATTCATTTGTGCCTTTTGAATCTTTGTGATTGCTTATGTTTGAATCCAACGAAAGAGTTTATGGTTGAATTTGTTGTCATGTGCACTTGCATTGTATTTATTTTGCATGTTTCACCCTTAGCTTGTTTACCTTAGATTGTTTGCTTTAGGTTGTTTACTCTTAGGTTGTTCACCCTTAGACGATTCACTATTAGGTCTCCTTTTTTCTAACTTGAATCTTTTCATAAGAAACCTTGACATTAGGTCATTAACTTTTCAAAACCTTTTTCTTAATAAATGCTTCAAGAGATCTCAAGCATATCAAAACCTTTTTCATAAGACTAAACGACACAAACCACATTCAAAACCATTTTGCCACTTGGTTTTTCATTTTAAAACATTTTCTCAAGAGAGATTAGACATGAGTCATCCCTAGTTGAGATATAAATCTCCTACCCCATGACATTTTTGAGAAAGATGTTGATTCTTTTTCACTTGAGAGACGTATGAGGCATACTTGTTGATTCTATATCCAAGTTAGAGCCCTCCTCTCATTGTAAAGCAAAGATCCATCTTCCACATGTTTATGGTGGGTTAGTTTAATATTCTTCTTAAGGTGACAACTTGTCTCTTCTTCATT